ATTATTTTTGTTTTCTTTGTGCACAAAAAGTATTTTTTTAGCTTTATAAAATTGAGGTTGAATCACTGATGTCACATGGACTATTTTAATGCCTTCCTTACTACCTTTCTGGGCCTTAAATATTGTGGTTGTGTTGCTGTCTATGCAGGGTCAGAAAGCTCTCGGATTTCATCAAAAATATCTTAATTTTTGTTCTGAAGATGAACAAAGGTCTTATGGGTTTGCAAAGAAGGCTAGCTCAGAATGCATTGTGATGAACTTCATCTTGGAGATCCATCTGAAATCGCATACTGTAAAGTAGTTGCTAAAACCTACTTTGCGACTGTTAAAAAGTAAGTTATAGTATGAATGTCTGTAGTACGAATATAATTTGGACGTACTACACCCACCATGTTGTCACTGCAATAGTAAAGTATCCATCAGATGCATGCTTTAGAATCTCAGCGGAAATAGCGGGTCATCTGGGTACTTTTCGCCTACTGTTTTATAAATACTATGAATTTGGACATACTACTCACCTCACATACTGTTTTTCGCCTGCTATATTGCATGGAAGTAGGCATATTCACGTGCAGGGAAAGAGTTATTTCCAAGATGGCCGACCAAAGTGGTCTAAGCATACCTGGGGAACTTATGTGACCATAATGACGCTGTCTGCACGCTTAAGCCGTCTAAAAATCTATTGTAGTATCTACTTCTACTATCATCTACATATACTATTTATTTATTTATTTGCTTTCATACTGGTGCAGCATGTAAAGTGTTCCAAATCAATCACTTATGAGGTTCCATTTCAGTTAAAATGCTCCCTCAGAAGACAGCTGCTATAAAGAGAGAAAGATATTTCTGATTATGAACAGAATATGGAAATATATTTATACAAAATCCATTAGCCTCAAACCGTCATAAAAGCCATCTCATCATGAATTGAGACAACACTATGTGTGTGTGTGGATGTGTTAGCGTCAGGGCCGAGGGGTATGACGGAGGATGGCAGGGCAACATTCAGGGCGATCGGTGGGAATGACACTGTGTGTGTTTGCATGTCTGTGGGCAGCAGATGTTCACTGTGATGAGCACGCGTTTGGACAGCAGACACATGGCTCTCTTAAACACACTACAATTACAGAGAGCTGGAAGCACAGCCTAACGTCATGTTATTTATGTGTGTGTACAGCATACGTTGTTGTTTCTGTTGTGCATTACAATGAAAGGTGGATATAATAATAGAAATACTGATCGTGGAGTGTGTGTTTGTGTGTGTGTGTGTGTGTCTCACGCATGCTGAGGTGAGCAGCAGATATCTCTCATTAGTCAGCCTCTATTGTTAGTGTTATCTGAGGCTGACTGATCTAGTGTGTCTAGGGGTATTGTCTTTTTACCCTCTCATCTACTTGTGTAAGGCCCCCTGGGTCTCTCTCTCACACACATACATAGACGCAAACGCACACACAGACACATAGTTCAGCCTTTTTCACTCACATAAAGAAAAGCAGCCGAAATCTCTCTTAGCGTGTTATTTAGCAAACACTATTAAGTCAAGGGTAAAGGAAAGAATTGTGTTTGAATAATCATTTTCTCCAGGTGCCGCCACACCAAGAGTTACACACTTTCATTTTTTAGCTTTAAAAAGCATTTTTATAAGAGCTGGAGCCTAAAGCTAGACCAAAAACATTCTCTGTGCAAACACACACGTTAATTCTTAGCAAGTTCAGTTCTGTTGTGTAAAACATTCATTATTGTGATGGTAACAAAGCTCAGAACTACGTTATAAATGTGTTACCTTTAAACTGAATCTGTAATTTAGGTGTGAAATTTTGCTGGGAAAAAGGTCACTGTCAATTATCTATTAATGTATGAAGCACATCTTACACATAAGTGACTTTTAAAGCAAGCAACTTTGTTTGTCAACGCAGCAAATTTACGTTGGTAAGCGCGATTTGTGTGAATTTCAATGCTCTGAATTCACGTGACTAAAGGTGCAGTCACATTTACTGTTGTTGCCATTTCAGTTGGAATAAGTGGGATCAGGAACTTCATGTGAGGAAGTAAGATGTCTTCACACAGATTCCACAATGGTTTCAAATTGCTGATGTGATTTTGTTGCACTTACGCTCTGTGTAGGCAACTTTTTCATGCTCATGCGAAACTCACAAACTCACTGATTCCTATTGAAATTACAAGATTTTGTCCACAAAAGATTGCAGACCAATGATAGATGTGACTGCACATTAATTCAGATAACTAGCTATATATAAACTTTATTGTTTAAAGCTAATTAATTTCTGTCTCAGTAGTATGGCCAACTAGAAGAATAATTACTGTTTTCAAACAGGTTTCCAGAATTGAATATATAAGTCCCACCTACATTTTTTAATTCTAACTAGGTAAAAGAGAAAACTGACTATAGAAGTAGACAATTTATGCTGTTGTCTTTATCAGCTCTAGGCACATTTGTAACTGTAATTTGTTTCTGCAATGGGTTCTCCAGGCACCCAGCGAATACGAAGCCAACCCTGAGCTGCTGATATACAGAATCACCCACCTGACCCGGGGTCAGCAGTATTTGATCTGGGCAGCCGCCGTCACCACTGCTGGTCGGGGCAATATCAGCGAGAAGGTGACTGTGGAGCCTGCTGGGAAAGGTGAGTCCACCTAGAGTTTAATGGGAAAAATAATTATTAATAGCCATGCTGGTGTGATATATCTTCAGTCATATCTGTACCTAAACATATGCACTAAAGTCAGTACTTGATCTCAAAACAGATAGTTTGACAGTTTCCACGCAGAAATTGATGATTGAGGTTTCCTGTCTGTAATTTAGCTTTATTTACTTAGCAATCATGTAGAAATTGTGCAATTGCCTGATAAGGCAGATGACCTGAGTGAGAACTGGGTGTTACAGGTCATTCTCTGTCACTGATGCTCTCTTCTCTTCCTTTTCTTTGATTTTCTCCTGATGGACAGAGGTAAAGCCTGTCATTTATTATGTGGAGAGGAGTAAAAGCATCTAAATGAGACAGAGATGGCAGACAATGACCTGGCCAATATGCCAGACAATGAAGGGGGCAGTTCAATCAATATTTCTTGGGTCAGAAAACCAGGGAGAGGATCTATGAATGTGTGTGTGTGTGTTCTTATTTAACAAGTAATTCACAGCTAGTTTAAAGAGTAAGAGTCCCTTGATTGCCCGGGGGCAGTTCAATCAATATTTCTTGGGTCAGAAAACCAGGGAGAGGATCTATGAATGTGTGTGTGTGTGTGTTCTTATTTAACAAGTAATTCACAGCTAGTTTAAAGAGCAAGAGTCCCTTGATGCCGGATTTTTTAATGTATGTACGATTTCCAATGTGGTAAAAAAAATAAAAACATTATTTGAATACACTAAATGTTCATATATAACATGTAGACTTTAAATTATAGAAAGTATACTTTTAATGGGGAGGTTCACAGAAAATGTTTTTGTATTTAATAATGCGAGGTGCAGTGCAGTGCAGTGGAATGGGAAAAAAACTCAAATTTGAAATATGCAATTTAAAAAAAAAAAAAAGTTGAACTTGAGTATCATGTTTTTAGAATAGTGTAGTGTCATGCATGAGACTCTGCAAAAGAGTTGAGCGCAGTGGTCAAAGATATCCGTCTAAGTTGGCTTGGTAGCCTCGTAGGCGGCGTGCAGACATAAAGTGCCATTGCGCGGACGTCCCGAGTTTGAGTCCCAACTCGCAGACCTTTCCCGATCCAACCCCCCTCTCTCCCTCCCATTTCTCACCTGTCCTATCACAATAAAGGCAAAAATACCAAAAAAATAAATCAGTCTAGTTCACCAGTATATTAATACATGACTCTTTATTTGTCCTACTCAGCTCCTGCTAAAATCCTGTCTTTCGGAGGAACGGTGACCACTCCGTGGATGAAGGAAGTTCGGCTGCCGTGCAGCTCAGTGGGAGAGCCAACACCCACCATCAAATGGACCAAAGACAGGTCTAGGATCAGCTTTCATCACTGTGTTTTTCCAGTGAATCCTTGAAATGTAGAAACTTAAAGGTTTAGATTTACAAACCAAAATACCTTTTTTCAGTCTTCTGACTCTTCACAGACATTCACCTCTAATTTATTCAAAGATGAGAAGGTCAATATGACTGATTTGATTCTTACAGTGAGGACACCGCCATCCCAGTTACTCAAGATGGTCACCGGAATATTCTTTCAAATGGTACCCTGGTGCTGCGCTCTGTGAAAGCAGAGGATTCTGGGTACTACACCTGCACGGCCACCAACACACTGGGGTTTGACACAATCATCGTAAACCTGCTGGTACAAGGTAGGTAAGCGCATACTTTCACGGGTTAAGGTGCTGTCACATGGAATTTGGCTCAATTTTGGGCAAAAAAGGTCCATTGTCAATAGCTGTGCATAAAGCTCACAAGTCACTTTCAAAGTAGCGTTATGTTGGTCAGTTTGGCAGTTTGTGTGACCAACTTAAACCTGTTGCAAAATCTGTGTGTGTAAATCTTTCACTCTCAATTTCACAGATTCCTATTGATGACTCAATTTTGACAACAAAAAATGTCCAAACAACAGTAAATGTGACCACATCTATAGGCTGGGGATATAGATTATATATGGATATAGATGTCTTGTTTCAGGACAAGTAAAAGTTGATTTACGTCAAAACACAATGCTAGGAAAACCATGGTGGCCAAAATATTAAATATTGACTGCTGGTGTTTGAATGTTAAAAGAAAAAATTCCCATCAATCTCTGTGTGTCCTGTGTTATAGTGCCTCCAGATCAACCACGTTTGACAGTTTCCACCACGTCCACTTCTTCAATCACTCTGGCTTGGATCCCTGGAGACAATGGAGGAAGTTCCATCAGAGGTACAAGCACATGTCCTGCCTCTTTCTGGTCGCCTCAGAATTTGTATATAGTGGGCTCCTCAAAGTAAATGTATATATCCCTAAGGTTTCTTTACATTTTGCAGACTCTCTCTTTTTTTCTGTCTATCCGTCTTTCTTTCAGACTGTGATTAATCTGTCACTGTGTCACATGTTACTGACAAACTGCTTGCATCTCACAGTAAATTAGGTAAAAAAAACTAACAAAAAAAAAAAACTGAGATGTTTGTGTGTGTAAAGGTGGGAGGAAAATAAGGAGAATACAAGGCTGTCAGTGGGTAAATCCTTCTGCTGTGGCGCCCTTTATTTTGCCATCTGCCAAAGCCAAAATGAGACACCAAATCCAGGCCGCTCCTAATGATGGGCGACGCCATATTGTGCATCTATTTGCATAACTGTGCAGTCAGCATTTCTCTCTCTGTCTGGGTTACTAACGGAGGTTTACAGCAATCTGATCAGCACTTCATCTGAGATTGTTACTCTAAGATTAGTCTGTAAGGTCAATGCGCCATCTGGTGGTGATGTTAGGAAGTGTTCTGAGTTTGGCTTGCAATGCCAACATGATGAGTTTGAATCCCAGGAATTGCAAGAACTGATAAAACAATACAATATAATAATATCATTAATAAAATACTATCAATAATATATTGCATATGTGTCTGCATGTTCAGGTTTCGTGCTGCAGTATTCAGCAGATAACACTGAGGAGTGGAAGGATGTCTTTATTAGCTCCAGTGAACGCTCTTTCAAGTTGGACAACCTGCGTTGTGGTACCTGGTACAAAGTCAAACTTGCAGCAAAAAACAGTGTGGGAGCTGGTCGCATTAGTGAGATCATTGAGGCCAAGACTCACGGCAGAGGTGAGCAGTTATTACAGTTCTTGCAGCTTGTTTTCTTCCCTGAAGTTCATGTTTAATCAATGTTCTTGCACCAAAAATGGTATTCATTTAGTTCCTTATGACTATTTTCCTCCATTTCACTAACCGTTAGAATTAAATAAGCTCGTTTTGCTACTTTACATTTGAGAAATGTGTGTAAAAAAAAAAAAAAATGATTTGCTAAACAAGTTCAAAGTGGAAGATCTATTTTTATTCATAAACACTACCGTTCAAAATTTGAGGGTCTGTAAATTTTTGTTTTTGAAATAAGTCTCTTATGCTCACCACACAATATATTTTAAAATGTAATTGATGTAAATGTAATTAACTTATGTGATGGCAATGCAGAATTTTCAGCAGCCATTATTCCATTCTTCAGTGTCACACGATCCTTCAGAAATCATTATAATAACTTCTGATCAACTTAATGTGTCCTTACTGAGTAATTTCTTTAAAAAAAAGTTTGTACAGTAGTGAATATCCAATAATAAAAATGTAAAATTCGAAGATAAATCTAAATCAATTGGGTGTTGTATGTGACATTTAGACATGTGAAATTAGATTATATGGTAATTAATCTATGGCATCAATAGGGTGTTTTCAGGACACATTGTCAATCGGCCACATTGGCGGCACTGAATGTAAACAATGCCACTGAACCGAACGGAACTTCCTAATTTTTCTGATTATTGCTGCTGAAAAGTCAATTATTGTCATGTTTTGGGCTGTACTAATCAGTCAGACCGGGAAACACATTTGGAATACTATAGACTGCCAAACAAATCAAGGAGAAGAGTGCAAAAAACTGTCTGAGGAAAGAAGGCGTTTGTGGTTGGCCAAACTGAACCAGGATTTCCAGGGCAAGAATATTGACAATATTTGTGTTTGTTCTTATCATTGCTTGCCACGTAGGGGACATATTGGGCTAATATCTTAACTTATACTGCTCCTATGGATCTTTTTCACCCATTAACTTTAGATAAAATATCATGCCCTTTATAACTTGCTAAGTCCTTCTCTAAATGATTAAGCAACTTCCACATTCCACGTTTTTTTCCATGCTTTAGACAGTATAAATTAGTAGAACAATGTCTTCAGTAGTCCAGTATCCGTGCAATCCATGCTGTTGTTTACATCTTAGTATCTCCAATATGGCCGCGCATCCGGGTAACTGACCAAACCGTAACGTAGGTGCAAGCACTCCATACATCACACGATAATATAGATTGTAAAATGTGATATTTTCTTGTTTTGCAGAGCCACAGTTCAATAAAGACCAGCCCCTCTTCACTCACATCAACTCCACCCACGCCCGCCTCAACCTACAGGGCTGGACAAGCGGCGGCTGCCCCATCACTGCTGTCCTGCTAGAGTTCCGCCCCAAAGGCACCTGGGCTTGGCAGAGCGTGCGCACCAATGCCTCAGCTGACATATTCCTCGCCGAGCTGCGTGAGGCCACTTGGTATGAGCTAAAGATGAAGGCATGCAACAGCGCCGGGTGCGGAAACCAGAGCTCCCAGTTTGCCACTCTGGATTATGACGGTAGTAAGTTTACAAGCAAGAGAGAATTTCATTCCCCAGTAATTCTGCCACCATTAGTCAAGTCACTCAATTTTCATTCAATAATTGTTCGGATGTACAAATATATTTCTGCCAGGGCATGTAATAGAGGACAACACAAAAGAACATGAACAATTAGCAGCTAAATCAATTAATTAGGCTGTTTTTAGGCCTGAATTTTAGAGATAAGAGGCCTTGACGTGAGCTTTTATCTCGATCTCTGTACTTATCTCTATTTCCTTTCCTCCGCAGGCACTATTCCGCCTATTAAGTCAGCACGAGGGGAAGGGGATGATGTTAAAAAGCTTTTCTCTATCGGCTGCCCTGTCATCCTCGTCACACTGGGCATGGCCCTACTTTTCATTATCCGCAAGAAACGCAAAGAAAAGAGACTCAAGAGACTTAGAGGTGAGAGAGAAATAGGCCGAAAATGTATAAAATGCTGTTTGAATAGAATATTATATATACAGTGGTGGCCAAAATTGTTAGAACACTTGGCATATTTAAGAGGTTTCAGTGGTTTTTGTTGAATTGGCCATTACAATACCCATAAAATTGACTATTGCCGAAACTACCTGCGATGGAAGGAATCTGCTGGAACATTGAAAATGATGGACTGGCCCCCTCAAAGTCTGGACCTCAACTCCATCGAGCAAATTTGGGGCGAGTTGGAAAATAAACTGGACAGATCTGTTATACATTCAAAGGAAAGCCTTTGACTCAAGTCACAGAAGGCATGGGATAACATTAGTGTTGAAGTTCTCAGGAAATATATTGACACTATGCCAGAGAGAGATGTGCTGCTGTAATTGCTGCAAAAGGTGGACATACCAAATATTAAAGTTAAAAGTGGATAAAAACAGTACAACTCACTTTATCTGATATTTGTTGTGCTCAGAGCAACCATCTGCATGTTTCATGAACATTATGAAATTAAATCATGTTTTGGAGGCAAAAAGGGTCAATAATTTCAGATATGTCAGGTGTTCTTACAATTTTGGCCACCACTGTATAGTTTCTATTTTTTGTTTTTCATATTTTCATTAGACATTTTCAGAATCATTAGAATAAAATTACTCTCATTTCCATCTGTAGATGCTAAGAGCTTGGCTGAGATGCTTATCAGGTAAGGATATATTTAGAAGTCTGTGTACAGAGTAAACTCCAGAATTAAAACTCAAACATTAAACTCAGTGGCAGTGGCAATACATTTTTCCCCTCTGTGTTTGTGTGTGTCTGTCTGTGGTTGTTTTGTACCTGGAGCAGTAAGAACAATCGAAGTTTTGACACTCCTGTGAAAGGCCCACCTCAGGGACCCCGACTGCACATAGATATCCCCCGCGTGCAACTGCTCATCGAGGACAAAGAGGGAATCAAGCAGATAGGTCAGTGTTTGCATATATGCAAATCATATGCTATTGCAATATATATAAAAAAAAATCTGAGATGGAGTTGAGTTGATTCCTAAAAGAAAATCCTAAACTCCTAAAACTAAATTTTTCCTCAAGGCATGTGTGTATTTCTCTTTTGTGTGTGATAGGTGAAGACAAGGCCACCATCCCTGTGACAGACACTGAGTTCAGCCAATCAGTGAACCCTCAGAGCTTCTGTACAGGCGTGTCTGTGCATCACCCCGCCCTCATCCAGAACACAGGCCCTTTGATTGACATGTCAGACATCAGGCCGGGCACCAGTATGTCACAGCTCACCCACTCATTTCATAACAGATGGAAGATGGTATAATTAATGAATGTTTCATACACTCTCTGATATTACTTTTCTCAGATCCAGTATCGAGGAAGAGCGTGAAGTCTGCGCACAGCACGAGGAACCGCTATTCCAGTCAGTGGACTCTGACTAAATGCCAGGCGTCCACACCTGCTCGCACTCTCACCTCAGATTGGCGGACAGTGGGCTCCCAGCATGGCATTACGGTCACAGAGAGTGACAGCTACAGCGCCAGCCTGTCCCAGGACACAGGTCCACACACTTACACACACACACATTTCAGATTTTAAGAATATTTATGGTTCCATTAACCAGACTTGGTCTTATTCTGGCCAAAACTTTTGACAGAAAGTGTCAGCATATGAAAAGTGTTAACACTCATTCTGTCCTCTCCTGTGCTCAGATAAGGGACGAAACAGTATGGTGTCCACAGAGAGTGCGTCTTCCACCTACGAGGAGCTGGCCCGAGCGTACGAACACGCTAAACTGGAGGAGCACCTGCAGCACGCCAAGTTCGAGATCACAGAGTGCTTCATCTCTGACAGCTCCTCTGATCAGATGACCACAGGCACCAACGATAACGCAGACAGCATGACCTCTATGAGCACACCATCCGAACCAGGCATCTGTCGCTTCACTGCCTCTCCGCCCAAACCGCAGGATTACGACCGCGGCAAAAACGTTGCAGTGCCCATTCCGCACCGCGCCAACAAGAGTGAGTTGACAACACATTTTGGGGGTGTTAAACGTTTATTGATGGAGCTGTGAAGTCCAGCTTGTGTAATTTCCAGAACTTATTCTGGAAATAAGAATAAGTCAAAAAAAAGCAGTCATAAGGGTCAATTTTTTTAAACTTAAAAATATTTATACATCATCTGAAAGCTGAATAAATAAACGTTCCATTGATGTATGGTTTGTTAGGATATGACAATATTTGGCTGAGATACAATTATTTGAAAATCTGGAATCTGAGGGTGCAAAAATATTGAGAAAATCGCCTTTAGAATTGTCCAAATGAAGTCCTTACCAACACATATTACTAATCAAAAATTAAGTTTTAATATATTTACGATAGAAAATTTACAAAATATCTTTAGGGTACATGATCTTTACTTATCCTAATCCTAATGATTAGATTATTAATCCTGATGATTGTTAAATTATTTTAATAAATCCTAAAGATTTTTGGCCCATAATAATTTCATTAAATTATTCATTTTGACCCATACAATGTATTGTTGGCTATTGCTACAAATATATCCGTGCGACTTGCAACTGGTTTTGTGGTCCAGGGTCACATATATATTAAAGCGATATCTATAGAATAGCCTCCAACTACAGAAGCTGCCATTTAACATTGTTTTACTGACACTTGTCTCTGTCCTACAGGTGAGTACTGTAACCTCCCCCTCTACATGAAGACCGACCCTTTCTTCCGGAAACAAGCGGAGCTGCACGACCCCTGCCCTGTGGTCCCGCCTCGTGAGGCCTCCATCCGGAGCCTTGCCGCCCGGGCCTACCACACACAGGGCCGTCACATGACATTAGACCCCTCCAAGCAGCAGGCCCTGACACTGGGCCACGGCGGCCTGAGCAGCCTGACCAGCTCAGGGGCCTCTGGTATATCAGGCCCAGCTTCAAGCGGGGCCGCTGGGAGCTCCAGCATCAGCTCAGGCACAGCCACCCTGCCCCAGAGGACTCTCACCATGCCCAGCACCTCCTCCACCTCCTCAGCCCCAAGCGGGGCAGCTGCCGCTGGAGCAGGAGCCAGCGCGAGCTCCACGGGAGGCAGCGGCCTGACGCCTGGCAGTTCCAAGGTCGGGGGATCCAGAGACTCTCTGCTCGAGAGCAGCTCGTCCGGCCTGGGCAGACTGCAAAAGCAGAATGCTGGGGCGTACTCCAAATCCTACACTCTGGTGTAGCTCACACACATACGTATACACATACAGTACGTTCCCACACTCCTGGAGTCTGGGCAGGGGCGGAAATGAACAATGGCGGGACAGGGGTCTCTCTCTTTTCCTCTCTGTTACCTTTTTTTTTGCTTTCCTTTTTTTATTCTTCTGCTCAAGCTTTTTTATCTGGCCTTCTCCAGGATTAAATATGCCAAACCCCAGGACCCTTTCCCCCAATTCTGCCTTTTTTTTATTTTGCCTTACGTTTTGTCCTTCTCTCTCGCTTTCTTCCCCTCTCTCCTTTCTCTTCTCTCTGTCAAAGACACCTTGGACCTTATGCACGAAATGCTTTCCATGTGCACTTGTTCATTTGATTTCTCGACTTCAGAAAATAGGAAAAAGCGGTTTTAAGAGATATATTGTTTCACATTAACCTGTCTAGATGTTTTTAGGCTGTCAAAAAAAGTGTCTCTTTTTATGTCTCTCATACTGCAACGCATTGCCTCGGAAAGCTTATGCATAAACAAATCCACCACGGTGTCCACCTTCCGCCCCTCCTGATCCACAATGGTCTGGAAAAACAGCTCGAAGACGAAAGTCTCGACCGCCTGAATCGAGTCTTTGGGATTTTTTTCATGCAATTGATGACACAGTATAGAGTGTTATTGACTATTTTGTAAACAAACAAGAAAAAAAAAACGTGGAAAAAAAATGTCTGGAGCCATTTTCACAGCGGATGTATGGTTACTGTACTTTTATTTTGTTGTTCGGTTTTCTATTTTCGAAATTTTGAACTTTAGCACTAAGGAGGGCCGGGTGGATCCACTGAGCTTTCTCAAGCTTGTGTACGTGTGGTGTGTGTGTGCATGTGTATGTATATGTGTAAATATATATGTATACATGTGGCCAGCACACACCTTTAAAGGACCTCTCGACCTAGCCTGCGTGCTTGGTCTCTTGGCATCGGACCGGCTTGAAGACGCCAAGTGCCACCCACTGAGCAACAAGGTCTAGAGTCCATCTGAAAAGGGGGGATAAGTTGGAGAAAGTATGTAAAGGGTGGATGCATCTCCCTTCTCTTCTCTCTCGACTCCCTTCGATATGAAAGAAAGGCTCTTGTTTTGCTGTTTGTTCGTTCGTTCGTTCGATTGTTTGTGTTTGATGCCATATACTTATCACCCCTCCTTCCCCACCCAGACCTCCCCCAAAAACGTTACCACTTCCTCTGTCTCACTGTGAACGCCTAACAGCCTCTCCTGGATGGACCGAGCACAGGCAGAAAGGCGGGAAGAGGGCAGAGAGGTAGGGAGGAATTAGAGGCAGACGGGCCCGTGAACAGAGAGGGAGAGATATCTGCCGTCGCTGTGTAGCTTTTCTGCGTTTGTTCATCGTTTCTCTTTATTCTTTGCTTTCCTTCCCCACACGAAGACTCTAGCGGTCGTTCCTATTCGAAGGTCTTAGAGACTCTAGCTTTAGGTAGCGCAGGGGTGGATAAAGGAGGGAATGAGTGAAATGTAGGAGGGGAAGGTTTCATTCAACCCCTAAATGGATCGAAATGCCTCTCAACCCTCCTTCGTTCACTCAGTTTCCAAAGCAAAGCCCCATCACAGAGAAACTTCCAAAAATCGACAAACTCTCCCAATGATTTCAATGGAAAAAAAAAGTACTACATCAGGGCTCCTGCAATACAAAAGAAGAAAAAAAAAAGAAAATATATTGCAATGTTTGTTGTCAAAATATATACATATATATTTCTATCTAAAGATATAGTAAATATATACATGGTGAGTGCAGAGATTTAATGCCATATCTAATTGAAAAAGAAAAATTTTATTTTAAAAAAAGATTTGAAGACAATCGCTCAGTGGGAGGTGCAGCAGTAAGCGAGAGGAGGTGTCGATCACGAAACGCTGAGATAAACGGGTAACATAACTAAGAGAGATTGAAAAAGAACGGCAGAGGGTGTGTTTCGACATGCCGCGGTTGGGAATTCTGGGGAAAGATCGTTGAGGTTCCCAAACTAACTTCCTGTCATTGTTATAATCAGCCGGGCTGCATAGTGCAACACGCCTGTATGGTATGAAGGAGATATTTATGGACATTTCCGAACACACTCTCTACAGTTGCTTGGAAACAATGGAAATTTGCCACTGCAACTCCAGCTCATAGATGGACATCTGTGAGTGCCATCTGAATCCATGCACCATCTCTACTGCCCAATGAATTGTTTAAAATACCCACAGTGCTTTGAGAGCTTTACATCAGGTCCCTAAAGAGACAGTTCACCCAAAAACTAAAATTCGGTCATTATTTACTTACCCACATGTTGTTCCAAACCTGTACAACTTTATTTCTTCTGTGGAACACAGAAGTGTCTTGTCCATACAGTGAAAGTAGGGGTGTCACAAAATACTGCTATTGGCGATAAGTGAAATATTGATACGGTAATACCAGAAATAATCCAGCACCAGTAATATCTGGTTGATATTCCAACATAGCGTATTGCACCTTAACGCTGGTTTCCACCCATCATAAAATGGAAAAAAGAAGATGATGCAGTGTGTAAAAATAATAGAAACATAGAAATAGAAATGGCTCTAACAGGTCTAAATGAACAAAATTTGGACCCCACTGACTTTCATTGTATGGAATAATTGATGAACAGTGAATAGATGGTGAATGATGACAAAATGTTAATTTTGAGTGAACTATTCCTTTAAGGTGAGATTGCTCCTGTGATATTAAAAATTCAAGCTTTCAGCACGTCTGATAGTTTAGATCTTATTTATCAGGGGAAAGATTGCTACATTTATGTAGTGCATATTTATTGGTGTGTTAGAACACACAACCCCTGCAGACTTCAGCACAGGAAATAGCACACATTTATTGTTTGTACAACAGGATTCAGTTTCATGCAGCCGCCTGATCATATCTCATGTTAGGAAGACTTGACACAACAAATCCTAAGGTACAGAGTAGGGACATGTCGTGTTGGGTTTAAAAATTGAGCGGATTGAACAATTTTTGTTTGTGGCATATGAAAAAAAAAAAATCTGTTTGACTTACCAGGAGATGTTTTATTGGTGGCTTGATAAATTAGGATTGTGTTACAGTGTACCCGAAGTTGTGTAAGATAAATAAATTTGATCACCCAGATCTAACCCAAACTTCAGATAGAGTTGCGAAGAATGTGGACTTGTTTTAAAAACAGTGAAAGACGTATGTGTTCCTCTTATTGCTGCTCAAATGCCCACTGACTGGGTTATTAAGTCTGTCTGATGGCAGACGTGCCCAGTGCATTTTGCCATGAACATGTTTCATTAGGATTAGACCGATATCTATATCAGTATTCATGCCTGTTCAGGTGAAACATCTTGTGAAAATATTCCCTTGACCACCCCAGAAAGCCCCCACGTCCCATGTTTTTCATATTTAAAAGACAGTTGCTGACTTAAAATGAATTAGATTTTTTTTTTCCTCGGTTGCATTCTTTTATGAAAATAGATGTATCCAACTTAGTTTTTGTTTGGTTCTATGATGATTTGTGTTGAAAAGAAAATGCAGTTGTGTTGCGCAACGGGGCAGGCCTGTTTAGCCAGTCGAATCAGGGACCCCCAAGCTCCAACCAATCACAGGAGAAGCTGTGTGGATATTGGGCGGAGTCAGGAACAGAACTCCATCCCCACACGCCTGTTTCCCCGCCCGAATGATCCGATTAGCCCCTTTTCCTCAACCAATAAAAATTCCTGCTATTCCCAAGACCTCCCTGTCAGCATAATTTCTAATCTACAAATAAAGACTCTTGTATATATGAAACTGTTTTGTATAAATAATTACTATTTTCGACATCTCCATTAGCAACCAGAGCACAATTATAAGTCTGGTTAAAGGTATAACTTTAAATGTGAGGGGATTAAAAAGACAAAAAAGTATAAAATCTAACAAAAAATACTTTACACCTTGAGTTTTGAATGGGGCACATGAACCCAGACCAGATGTCTGGCGTTTCATTTATTTTCTCCTTTTTATAATTTGTCTTATGTTTTTATTAATTTATGTTGTTGGTTGTTTTGTTTGTTTTTACTTTTGTTTCGTTTCTACCTTTTGGTTAACTTGACGAAAAATGGCATTGCATGCTCTGAATATTTTGCTGGTTATTAAAAGAAAAAGGAAAAGGAGACAAATAACTAAAAGGGAAAAAAAAGTTTAAAAAATGCGGAGGGGATTCCTAAACTTTTATGGAAAAGTTGCTTCAATTTGCAATTGCTTGTGTTTAAATATACAGTTTTTTTTTTTTCTATGAAAACAAAACAAAAACAGAAAAAGAGTACTCCAACACCTTGTGCAATAAAGCTATCTTTCTATGAATGGTGCCTTGTCCCTTGTGTGATTTTTTTTAAATAAAATAAATATTCCATCCTTCCATCTATCCCTACATTTTACATAAAACAACAATTAAATACAGAAAACAATTGTAGCAATTGTTTTCAGTAGTGCAATTGTAGTGCCAGAGATGCAAACAGGTAAGGGGGAAAAAAGGTGAGAACCGGGGGCATGCTCCACATGGATTTTTTATTTATTTTTTATATTTGTTTTACATGCTCATTTGTAGTTACTTTAAGGTATTTTTAAAAATATTTTATTACCTTATATGTCAAAAACTGATTTTTTTTTACAAAAAATAAATAAATAAAAATAACATCTTGTTCCAACATTTTACAAAAATCAAGATTCAATATATTTGGTCAAAATCCCATGTTATAAAAGATAAAGTGCTATGCAGGCTATTTAAGACAATATTGGCTGATTAGACGGCAATGCTGACCTAAAATGCTAAATGTTTGCCCTCTCTCTCTTCAATATTCCCACATCTCAGACCTCAAATACATAAAATAGTACTCTTTTTAGACATAGTTTATTAAAGAGTAAAGAAAATACTATACAAACCTTACTAGCAGTTGCCAAGTAGTTATCAGTCTTACTTTTCCAATACAAATAAGACCAGTCTACCTTTTCATAACTGAAAATAAAAAGTTATGACCAGTCTGCAACCGGCCCCAGTTCTTTATTTACCCTTGTATGATCACAAGTACCCTTGTAAGACCCCAAAAAATACCCTTGTAAGACCCCAAAAAAAAACCAAACACCTGAACCTGCTAATCATTGTCTTTCAAGACTACTAGAAGGCTACAGGCAGGTGAGTTTTATCAGGGTTGGATCAAATCTCTGCAGGAAAGTGGCCTGGAAGGGCCAAGTTTGCCCATCACTAATTTAGATGTTTTCACAAAGCGACCCTACTACAATGTCAGTGAAATTCACATTAAGTGCTGTAAAGTTGTAAACATGATTGATTAGTTCAAAAATCAGTAGTGACATGGCTAGGCATTTAACTAGGCAGTCTTTCCCTATAAAAACTGATCCATTCTCCATACCTCTTATCCTCTGTTGGATCGTGGGATATAGAATATATGCATATGTTGATACAATTGTTCAACATTCAAAACGATGCAGGAGTATAACAATATATCGTGTCACAATATATTGTAATGCTAAAATGCAAATGTATTATGGATAGCGACAATATGTTGTACCAAAAATTAAAGCTTAGACAATTTAATTTAGTATCAGATATAGTAAAATCACCCAAGAGGTCATTAATTATTAATAAAAAAATTGAAAACAAATCACATTATTTAGTACAATATCTAAAAGCTTTTTTAAATGTTGTAACACTGTGCAATCATTTGTATCTAAAATAATTATGCATTTTTTAAGCTAAGTAAAATGATGAATATTTCTCTTCTGGTGTCACTCTTGTCCTGTGAATTGGGGAGAAGGATCAAGTTCACGCTGATATAATACTAAATTCAGCATTTAATAAACAGTCGTTTACCAGTATTTCAGAATGATTTTAACAATGTAAT